TTAGATAGTTTACTGGTTTTTGTATGTTGATTTTGTATCGTGAAATTTTACCGAATATGTTGACTAGTTCTAACAGTGTTTTGGTAGAGTCTTTAGGATTTTCTATATATAAGATCCTGCCATGTACAAACAGATACAATTTTACTTTTCCCTTTCCTATTTGGATATCTTTTACTTCTTTTTCTTGCCTAATTGCTGGGTCTGTATTGAATAGAAGTGGGGAGAGTGAGCGTCCTTGCCTTGTCCACTATGAGGCATGATGTTAGCTGTGGACTCATCATACCCACGTGCATAGGGTTGAGGCCCAGTCTTTCTATACCTCATTGTTCAGAGATTTTACCGTGAAAGGGTGTTAGATTTTGTCAAATGCATTTTATGTATCTAATGAGATAATCATGATTTTTATCCTTCATTCTATTAATGTAACATATTACATTTATTGACTTGGGTATGTTGAACCATCTTTTATACAAAGGATAAATCCTACTTGATCATAGTACATGATCCTATTGATGTGTTGTTGAACTTGGTTTGCTAGTGTTGTGGTGAGGACTTTTGCATCTATGTTCACCAGGGATACTGGCCTGAATTTTCTTTTCTTGTAGTGTCCTTGTCTGTCTTTAGTGTCAGGGTAATGTTGGCCTTGAATTATTACAATAATTTAGGAGTATTCCTTCCACTTCATTTTTTTTGGAAGAGATTGGTATTCTTAAAATGTTGGTAGAATTCACCAGTGAGGCCACCTGGTTCTGGATTTTCTTTGTTGGAAGATTTTTGGTTACCCAATTCAATTGGTTTGTTCAGATTTTCTATTTCTTGATGATTCAGTCTTTGTAAGTTGTATGTTTCAATGAATTTTTTGTTGGTTTATTCTAAAAATGTATCCATTCTTTCAGGTTATCCAATTTGTTGACGTATAGTTATTCATAGTAGTCTCTTATGATTCTTTGCATTTCTGATGGTTACTTGTAATGTCTGCTCTTTCATTTTTGAGTCTTCCCTCTTTTTTCCTCAATTAGTGTAACTAAAAAAGTATGTCAATTTTGTTTATCTTTAAAAAAACAGCTCCTAATTTTGTTGATCTTTTCTACCATTTTTCTAGTCTTTATTTCATTTATTTCTGCTCTGATTTTATTATTTGCTTCCTTCTGCTACCTTTGGATTTAGCTTTTTTTCTTTTTCTAGTTCCTTGAGGTATAAAGTTAGGTTGTCAACTTAAGATCTGTGTTATTTCTTAATGTAGGCATTTATTGCTATAAGCTTTTTTCTTGGAACTGTTTTTGCTACATCCTATATAGCATGGCTCCAAATGATCATCTAACTTAGAGTTCTAGCTTCCCTTGCTGTGCACTTTGCACTCCAGAACAAACAGGTTTATTATGTTAACCTTGGGCATTTACGCCCTTTTCACAGGCTGTTCCCATTGTCTGTTATTTATTTTATTCTGAAGGTCCAAACTCTCATATCCTTCAAGGCCCAGGTTGTACGCCATCTCCTAGGGTGGTCCTTCCTGACCCACTCATTGTACCTCTTGTAAATGGCACTGGGTATCTTCTCCACTTGTTAGTGATTTTAAAGTCTGTGTCTTAACTCCCCTGATGGAGAGCAGGGAGCCTTACTAAAGACACGTTACCTGTTGTACTCAACAGTTTATTCTAAAGCTAACATTGAGCCGTACATATTCAACAGTTGTTACAGCAGTTGCTAGTTGAGTGAATGAATATTGATACTAGGACCGTCAAAAGAACCTAACAGCTAACGCTGGGTGTGTCTGCTGTGTCAGGTACTAAGTGCTTTATATGCAATAACTCATTTAATTCTCACAACAATCTTTATGAATTGGCTTCCCTTAAAATCTCCCATATTACAGTCCTGACCAGCGTGGCTCAGCTGGTTGGATATCGTCCCACGAAGTGAAAGATGGCTGGTTTGATTCCCAGACAGGGCACATGCTGGGGTTGTAGGTTCAGTCCCTGGTTGGGGCGTGTATGTGAAGCAACCAATTGACGTTTCTCACATTGATGTTTCTCTCCATCTCTTTCTCCCCCTCTTTCCCTCTCTCTAAAAATAAATAAAATCTTGAAGAAAGAGGATTTCCATATTACAAGTAAGGCAACTGAGACACAGGGCAGTGAAGTAATCTACTCAGGATCATGCAGACTTTAAGTGGCAAAGCTGAGATTTTGCATCAGGAAAGCAGATCTTGGAGCCCATGCTCTTACCTGCAATTTATTCTGCCATGCCAGGGAGAATGCAGCAAGCGTTTTTCCAAGAAATAAGGGGCGTTCTTAATCCAGCTTCCTGACTGCCTGAAGCTCCCTGAACAAGTGACCGCCCGTCCTGGGAGTGGGTTCACCTGCAGTGGGACAGAGCGGAGACCCTGGATCATGGATCATCTGCTAAGGTCCAGCCAAGGGGCCACTGCTGAACCTTTGCAATTGGAATGGCCACACTTTAAATCTCTAACACATGGTTGGTATCAAAGAATGCCCATCACCAAACCATACCTCACCCCCCCAAAAAAAAAACTAAGGAAAGAACAATATTGCAGACTATTTGCTCTTTAAGAAAATATGTGAATTCTGTCTAGTTTCTGCTAAGTGGAGGGCTTTGCCAGAGTGCTCATAGCAAAACATGCTGAGAACCATGACGTCTCTCTCACCCATGTGAGATTAATCACCCTATAAAATCACATTTGCTCTTATAGAAAGTAAAGACGGGGCATTGGAGGGCTTGGCACAGAGTCCACACCCCGCGTGTTGGGAACCCAGCCACCTTTCTCGGCGGGCAGCCCCCGCGTTCCCGTTAACCCAGGGAGCACGTCTTGGCTTGCGGCTCTTCTGACCGGGGCCCCTGCAGTAAGGTGGGGGTCGTAACTCTAACTAGCTCTGTCTTAAACGGTGTCGCCTGTTGCAGGCTCTCTGCATTTACTCCATCTTACTCAAAGGCAACAGGAGCCAAGGGCATGTCCCTTGTCGTGTGAAGCAGTATGGGTACCTGGCTTCTTCAGGGAAGGGGGAGTTATCTGCTCTTCCCCCAAGTGACTGCATGACCACATTTTAAATGTATGTGCTCCATGGCTCTTCTGTAGCTGGGATGGTACAGTAGACTGAGGTCTGACGGCTTTCTCACACGGAAATAGTTCCCTGGCAGTCCTTCATAATTCAGTATAGGAGTTGGCGTTAACCCGTCAGAGCAACAGATCCTGCTTATATAATAAATAATTCCAGGCAGCATTTACGTACTGGACATCTCGACAATCATAATTTTATTGTTTTTGTCTTACTGCAAAAGTAATACATGCACAGAAAAAAAAACCTCGAGTAGTAAAAATTAGTAAATACAAATAGAAATGAGCAAAAATATTTCTTAAAATCCTAAAACCTGGGGGTGAGTAGTTCTAATATTTTATTTAATATGCATATAAAATGGAGTAATTCTGAAATACTGCTTATCAGCTTTTTTACTTGATGGTATATCATGAACATTTCTGACATCATAAAATATTTTATAGTAACTGGCAGTTTGGTTTTTTGAGTAGGTATGATATCCATGTGGGGCATGGATATATGTATATGGACCTGTGTGCATGCGTAGACGTGAAGGGACCAGAGACGAGTTTTGCTCCCACCCTCTCTCCCCGTCTTCCCTCTGCCCACTTGGTACCATCCACTCCCAGGTTTTCAGTGGGTGATATAAGCACATTTAAACCTAGGCTCTTATTCCCCCACCACTATTACACGAAAGGTAGCATTCTGTACACACCTCTGCACCTTGATCTTCTGGCTAACGACGAATTTTCCTACTCTTTCTGCCACGGTGATGGTTACTTAACCAGTTCTTGATTTGAGGACAATTTGTTTTTATTTCGGCTGTCTCAAAGCAGCTTTATTGATGTATTCTATACAACTCATGATGATTTTCTTAGGATAAATTATTTGAAACACCTTTCTGGGCTGTCGCTTTATATTTTCAAATTGTTCCTGAAAGGTTATACACTTTATACTTCTTCCAGCAAGGATTGCCACCAGGTTGAAGGGAAATAAATTAAAAGGCTACTTGGAACAGGGAACTTTTTGAACATTATATAGGAGGAAAAATAGGGACAAAAAGCAGTGCTGGGTTGGTACGTGGAGTCCTGTCCGGTGAGAGGTGGCCGGGCATCCTGGAAAGAGCACACGAGCGCTCAAGCGAGGTGCTGGTTCTGGCCTGGCCTCTGACGGGAGACCCGGGCACGTCACTAAGGTCTCCCAGGCTGTTTTCTCTGCGTTGAACAAGGGAGGGGTGCTTACTGAACTTATTTGTGCCACCTTTTATTCCAAAACAGATCTATGACGATGAAACATAGAGAGGTTTTTCTAGCTCAAAAATTCTTTAATTTTATAACTGTCCCTTCATGTTCAGAGGAAATACAAAGTAGGCTCCTGCCTATCCTGGCTGTGATTTGAAGGGATACACACCCCTTTCCTAATGCTCTGGATTACTGACCTCTCTCCATCTCAGCAAATGCTCAGCCTAAGCTTCTCAGTCCACTGTACAGAGCAGTCTCTTAACTTCCATAAATAACCTTTACAAAATTCAGAGTGAATGGGAGAGGGAATGTTAAAAGTTCAAGAGATCCCTGACTGCATAAGTTATTGATAAATATTTTTTTAATTCAGACATTTATTTTTAGATGATGTAACATGGATAATGCAGATCATGAGACCCCCCCCACGAGGAACGTGGGGTGATGGTGGCATCAGATCTGGCTCTGGGTGGGGCAGTGATCCAGCAGATGGCAGCGAGGGAGGCTGAGCGTCAGCACCCACGCTGCCCCTGACCAGGCTGCCTTGATGTGGAGACCACCCGCTAGCCAGGCAAGTGTTCAGCAACCGGCCAGCTCACCATCAAAGCTGTTTGTCATTAGAAGCTTCCCTGAATGCACAAAGTGATAGCTTTGGTCACTGAGGTGAGATTGGTCAAGAATAAATTCCATCATGTCCTTCCTTTCTCTATAGCAAACAAGCTGAAGTGGATCCGGGCGTGCAAGAACTGGAAGCATTAATAGACACAATCCAGAAGCAACTGAAAGACCTTCCACGCAGAGACAGCATCTGTGAGGCCTTTCAGATTTATGACAAGGAAGCTTCCGGATATGTGGACAAAGAGGTGTTCTTTAAAACCTGCGGCTCTCTCAACATCCCAGTGGACGACTCCTTGATTAAGGAGGTCAGTCGGAGTTATTCTTGCCCCTGACTGCAGGGGTTCAGCACCGTTCATTCTCTCCCAAAGACACTTGCATGTGGACTTTGTTTTCACGGGGGAAGGTCTAGGAGGCTCCGACTAGATCTCCTCCTCAGTCCTGATTATGGCCTTCCCCTTGTTTTTCTCATTGGCATTTCTTCCCAAGTGCTGTTGCACGGAATCTGAGTGCTATGGGCCAGGCAGCCCAGGGAGGCTGGTGAGATGTGGTCCTGGAGGGGCAGCCCTGAAGGGGCAACTCAGAGGCAGCTGGGTTGAGCGGGTTGGTGGGCAGCCTTTGACACCCTTCACGGCAATAAATATGTTAGCCCACCTACATATAGAACTAGCATGGAGAAGGCGTGGCCACTGCCCAGGGACAGGAGGGGTCACACAGAGACATGGACCATCTCCTCCTAGAATTTTCATGAGCGAGCTGAACCTCTTTAGCCAGGGTTCCCCCCGAAGTCAGACAAAATCCCTCCCACCTCACCTGTGACTGTGACTCATTCTCATTGGAGACATTCTCATGAACTCAGAACACTGAGGTACTATAGACACTAAAGATCTTTTAGCAAAAAGAAGTATTCAGAGTTAAGATTCATTTAAGGAAGGCTTTAGTTGAGGGCTAGAGTGACTCGGTTGGAGATGAGGATATGTTGTAGACAGAAACATTAGCATGGAGCAGGGGAGGAGGACAAGAGTGTTTTGTTTGCATGGGCCAAAGCCTTTAGCTTCCCAGATCTTGGGGGGACAGCTCACCTGGATTCTGACTTTTCAGTCACGTGTACTGTATGTGGACCCTATGTGAGAGGAGCTGCAGTCGCTGGGAAGTGGGATGGGGAAGGGGGTGGGAGGGGTCTGCACGTGTCTTATGAGGCGACCACAGCAAATGGGCCCACTGCCCTCACAGCCAAGCTCCCAAGGCCACGGCCTGGGCAGTGACCTAACTAGGTCCTCCCGCTGGGCTGTGAGGCAGCAGCGCACACAGGCTGGGTGGCCAAAGTCTGTGCTTGAATATGAAAACAATTAAAAATGCTTTAAAAAACATTAAAAAAATGACAATGCCCTTGTAAATGCAAATGTTAGTCTTGAAATCTCAGGCAGGCCATTTACTCTGAGGTTTGATTTTTTATTTACTGTAAGAGGGGAAAATATCTGACCTACCTACTGGGTTCCCAGGATCATTTCAGAACCAACTGAGGACACGAAACCTCTGGACTGGTTTACAGAGGTTGGGGGCCATTGCTGCCGTGCGCTCGCTGCAGTCATGCCGAGGGCGGCCCCGCGTCTGCTCACCTGCTGTCGTTGTTCTCTCCCACAGCTGATCAGGATGTGCTTTCACGGAGAAGACAAGGTCAACTACTACAACTTTGTCCGTGCTTTCTCAGACTGACCTGGCTGGTGAGAGAGTGCAGTGCAGTCCTCCGAGGTCAGGCCCACACTTTGAAGTACACCTTGTAGTCTTTGTAGAGGCATTTACAGAGCTCTTGACATTTTATTTATATATATATTTTGTTCTTATGTTTCTGAAGTCTAAATTAAATTGGATCTTGTGGGAGCTAAGATTGGTGCCTTATTGAGGGAGGTAGGGGTAGGGGTGTTCTGATGGTTCGTTCTATGTGGCAGGTTGACTGGGCCTTGGGGTACCTAGATATTCAGTCCAACATTATTCTGGGTGTCTGTGAGAGTGTTTCTAGATGTGATTAACATTTGAACTGGTAGACTGAGTAAAGCAGGCTGCCCGCCCCAGTGCTGGTGGGCCTCATTCAACTCATTACAGGCCTACATAGAACTAAAAGGCTGACCCTCCCCTAAGTAGGAGAGAATTCCCCTGGCCTAACTGCCTTCAAACCGGGACATCAGCTTTTTCCTGCCAATGACTCAAACCAGAGTGTTAGCCCCTCCTGAGGCCCAAGCGTGTGGGCCTTCAGACCGCAGCTACGCCACCAGCTTCCATGGATCTCCTGCAGCTTGCTGACTGCAGTTCTCGGGACTGGTCAGGCTGCGTAGTCATGTGAACCAGTTCCTCAGAATAAATCTCACTCTCTCTCTGTGCGTCCTATTGGTTCTGTCTCTCTGGGGAACTCTAGTGCAGGTGCACAATGATGAAGAGCAGGAGAAAAGACAGAATTTGCTAGAAGCTCCATTTGGGGTTTTGGAAATAAGCACACAGTACTGGCATTGCTGCTAAGCCAATGCCCCTGCTCCTCACCTGCCTGCTTGCGCCCGTATTACAGGAAAATTCACCATGTGTTTTTCAAACTGCAGTTCTAGGCCCATCAGCAGATCTGAATTTTTAGAGGGTGAAATGGAAAATACAGAAATGTGGTGTGCATACATAATAGGGTATGTAGTTTCATGAAACTTCATCTCAGTGGAGTATATTTACTGGGTTGTTAGGTAAAATGTATTTGTTGATGTGGTTTGTAGTTTAAAAAAGAAAGAAAATTTAGAAAACTCTGCTTTTAGAAAGCCTGCCTTGAGATAAAAAGAGAAGGCCAGTAGCAGATACTGGTTTTCTGATGAGCTTGGATGGCCTTTCTAGAATCAGAGCTGTTCCTTAAGGTCAGCCACCAACTTCATCCTCATAAATGCTGTCTCAGATTCCTCCCCTACCCAAAGAGTGGTAGAAATGAGGGTGGAGTTTTACACAACAGGGGACGTCTGGCCCTCTCTGAACTAGTGGGGGACTTGACCTGGTTTGACCTGTCCTAATGAGCCGAGCCACCTCGAACCAGCTAAATGAAAGGCCTGTAAATGTATTGTGTTGACGCTCCCTTTTCTGCTCCAGGTTGCTCTATCCAGAAGCATCCATGTTTTGTTTTGTCTTCTCAAGTCATTCATATAACTATTTTAAGAGTCTAATTTTTAAGTATTTAAAAGTCCATTTCAATCTAAAAGAAAAACACAAAGCTCTGTCCTGCCCCAAGCTTGGAAGCGTGTAGGAAGTGTGTTGGGGGGGAGGCAGCACTGAGGGAGGAGGAAGGTGGGGAAGTGTGTCAGGCAGATACAGTGGGTTTCTTCTCCCTTCTGGGTTTTGTTCCTTTTGCCCCCATCCAGCCAGATTGCTGTTTCTGGCCTTTATGGTGTCCGGAAAGGTAGGGGTAGAAACTACAAGAAGAGGGCAAAGTCTTATCACTGTGGCTGGCAAAGTCCTGAGGGCGGGTCAGGACCCGAGGCGGGCTGCTTCTCCCAGGGCGCCTGTCTCTGATGCAGACGGCCCCGTCTCCAGCTGACCACCTGGCTCGGATCGTGCACCCCCTCCGGGCTCCTCATTGTCTCAGGTCTTCTTGAAGGTGGCTCTTTCAGGCTGGCTTCCAGAGTGTCCACTCTTGGCCAGCGTCCCTCTCTGTATCACTCTCTGGGCTGTGCAGTTAGGCAGCTCAGCCAGTCCCTTCCCTTGAGACTTGTTTTAGGCGAAGGTACCCCAGATGTTATGCTCCTCAAACTCCAGGGGGTACATGTCAAGCCCGAGGCTGTTAAAAGCACCCCCGTCAATGCGCTCGTAGACCTGCAGCTCTTTGAGGGCCCCCTTCCAAAAATCCATGCGCTCCAGTGATGGCTGCATCAGCCTGGCCTCCCACGGATGAATGGAATCTGCAAAAGCTTTGGGCCCCTTTCAGCAAGCCCCCACAGAGCTGCCCCAGTCTGTAGTACAGGGAGAATGTGCCAATTCTTGTCCTTAACTGAAATGAAGACAGCAGGGAAAGGTCTCATTTACCCTAACATCCTCTTACTACCCTTTGAGAGCCAGGTGCTCATAGCCCTTCTAAGGTCAGTTCCAACATCTTTTCCCTGTTTAGTCTCCTGTATCTTTTCCATTGTAATGGGGACCAGGATTTAAGGCAGCCCGCTCTGTTAGAGAAGTGTCTCAGAGTGAGATTGGCACTATTCCCACATATGCCTTAAGCCCGCTGCTGTCCACGCCTCCTTCCACGTTTACCTAAGACGGAGAGGTTGAGGTCCGCCAGCACTAGCACAAGATGCAGCAGCTACTCCAAAGCCCAGGGCCAGTGGGTCATTTCTGTGGTGTCCACACTCACTGCTCACCACTGCAAGTTCATGCGGGGCATCCAGGTATAGGAGCCACGAGTCAGAGCCACTCGGTTTTCCCACTGAGAACCTGAATGGCAGTGCCACCAGGAGGGGTCACTTAGGCTCCCTTATACTGCAGTCACACCTGGCATGCGTCTGGAGCCCTGGCTCCCGTGACAGAAGAGAGCTGAGCATTAGCCTGCAGTAAGCTCTGTTGTGGGAGGAAGAAATAAGCATCCTTTGATTGGGCCGCCAGGGAGCTGAGACAGAAAGAGCTGGGGTCCCCTATTAGCGTTTGCAGGAGAGGAGCAGGGGCACCTATTACCATTTGCACCTGAGGCGATGTGACCTGACTGAGGGATGCATGTAAGATGGTTTAAGGTGGCTTCCGGATTTAGGGCTAGTAAAGTCTGTCTCTGTGTAAACGTTGGCTGCGAGTCACCATTACTCAGGCCCTAACCCTGTACTCTGTCTGTGCCACCAGGGGGCCTTGAACCTACCATCTAATTAGGGTATATCAAACTCACCTACAGGTTTTGAGTGTACTTGGAACCAAGAGATAGAGAAGATGTTTCTAAACCATTCCAGAGAATTGAGGGTCCCTTGGATGAGTGACTACTGAATATCCCGCTGGCACATGAGTATGAGGGTGTTCATTTAAAAATTTTATTGACTGAATGCTTTATTTGCATCATGAATTTAGCATGTACTATCCCTAAATCGCTACCACTCTCTGCAAAAACAACCAAGTAAACCAAAACTGCAGAACAGAGGTGAACAAACAGGCTCATCACCTAGCTTCTCACTGCAGAGCAGAACCGCAACCCAAGCCCGCTACAAAGCTTGCCCTCCACCAGTGCCACTCACCTGCACCTCAGCCGAAGGTTTCCTGTTTAATCCTCATACCCGTGGGTGTCCTTGGTGAACTGCCCCCTGTAACTCCACTCATCCCTGATCTCTCTCTCTGAAGATGGCTCTGGAAAACATAGCAGTCGGCTGCAGGCACCACGCCATCTGACTGACTCCAGCAATGCCTGCTGCCCACGGCTGTTACTAATACTTGGACATCTATTCACTACCAACACAAACAGCTGATGGCTTTTACTTAATGCCATCTTCTTCTAGCCAAATGACTTCATAATACAGTAAACATCAAGCCTGGTGGAGCTCCCAACCTACAAACCCCATGTCAAGAAAACTCCTTTCCACTTTTACACTTTACTGTTACAGACTCAGATAAAAATGATGCTTGTTCTTACCTAGTATTTGGGATAACTCTTTCTCCATCCTGAATTCCAGTTCCCTAATTCACATGAGCACAGTTAACAAAAGACATCTCAAAAGATATACATGAAATGACTAACGTAGTGAAAACTATTAGAAATTAGACTAAAATTGACACTTATTTTATCCAGATCAAAAAGAAATATAAGGAATTGCACCAGAAACAATTAGACTGATAATTCTATGCCTTTTATTCAATTATTTCAAAAATATTTGCTGACCATTTGCTTCAAAATGTACACTTAAAAAATCCATACAAAACTGTAATTTGTTTTCAAACCAGACAGAAACAGTGGAAAAAGGATTCTGAAAAAAGTTCACTGAAAGTAAAAAGCCCCCCTCACAAAAAAAAACAAAACAAAAAAACCCTTTTACATGAGCATAAATACGGCAGGTACAACTTTTCCTTGAGTTCCTTGTTGAAATTTGGTCCATAACATGAACAGGCTAAGTAGAAAAACAAAGAGACACTTTTATCCACATTTGCATTATGAGTTGCTCAGGGCACCAGCAGCCTCAGCTCATCCTTCAGATGTTCATTAAAAAAGAAGAACTGAAAAATGAGGTTTAGTCTCACCACACAAACACTCGAATCTGTGCCAGGGAAACGGCGGGGCGCAGACTCCCAGGCAGTGCTGTCGGGGGGCGGGGCTGCCCACACGTGGCTGCCCTTCCTCTCCACGTGAACCACAAACTCGAGACTGTCCTCAGGCGGAGTGGCGGTGATGCCTCAGGTGCCACACAGATGTCATTCCCAGACACCGACTCTTTCCTCTTATTAATGCCCCATCATGAGGATAGTTTTTTTCCTTTTTAACAGATTAAAAAAATTATATGGACTTCTAAGATAATGCTACAATGTCCTACTAGAGTGCCACAGAAACCTACCCAGAATCACAAGAACGGCAGCAATGAAGGGAAAGTGGCGAACATTTCTGCTGTAGGGGCGACGACTGCCCCTCCCGTGGGTCCCTTCCCTTCCCAGTTGCAGGGTGTTGGGAGGGACAGCAAGGCCTGTGGAGGACCACTGGCTGGGAGGGTTATTGCACAACCCGGAAGAGCAAGGGAAAGGCAGGTGGGCCAGGGGCAGGGGAGACCGGAGCTGCTGCTAACACAAGGTAACACTGAATTAGGAGCTCGAGGGAGTTCTGCGACAGCCAGCCTAGACCCACTGTCCAACGGGTGTCTGTGAGCTAACACATGTGATTGGAAAGTAAACACCTCTGTCATACAGACTTTGGGTTGAATGGGAAGCAAAATAGAGCAGGAGAGGTTATAGCAAGGGCACCTTTTTGTGATCTTGGCTATGGGGGCTGGAAGCACAGGCCTCACTGTTGGGGCCAGAGGCACAAACGGGGCTCAGTGCCCCTGGCCCTCTGAGCTCCCCTTGACAGGTATGAGCACAGGTGCTGCAATGGGCCTTCTCGGGCTTCCACGCCACCCAGGCAGGCCCGAGAGCTGACACCAGGGAGAAACCAGAAACAAAACAGGGGACACACGACAGACCCTAATGCAATGCTGGGACAAATGAGGCCAAACTGTCACACTCCGTGTCCCTTTTACATGTACTACACCGGGCCCAGTGCCCTTGGCTGCACGTGACAAACAGCCCCAGAGCCCTGGCAGCTGGGGACTGGCAGTACACGACAGTGACAGCCGAGACCACACGGCAGGTAAGGCACTTCTCACCCAGAAAGAACAAGGATCTGCTTACAAGGAAAACTCGCACGGGGTGCTGAGCACGAGAGGCCACCCACAGCCAGCGGGCCCCACTGTCCCCCCGCTTTTCGAAGACCTCCAAGAAAAGGCTGAGTGGGGCAGGGGGTGTGAGGCAGCCGAGGACGTGGTCTTTTTCAGCCTTTGGAAGGGAGGAATTAATAGTCACGGGAGAACTGGGGCAAAGAGTGAAAAGTTAGGAAAGGCTTCCTTACTGAGCCAACCAAGGGCCAGATAGAGATTCTACTTATGTTTCAAGTGATCCGACAACCACCCAGCTCCCAGGAGCGCCCGACATCCCCCCGACGAGCAGAGCTGGGAGCCGGGAAGGCCGGGAAAGGGCGTCAAGACCACTCAGTTGTCCCGACTCACAACCCTTCCGCACACTCTCCACTAACACAGGCCTGTGGACCCTGGGAAGGGGAATCATGGCTGATGCCGAGGCCCCTGCCCGGGGAGCGAGTCATGTCCTGGCCCCTGGCCCCCCACCACCTTCTCTCACCAGGGCCTCAGAAAAACCACCTGGGAAGGCTGAAACCTATGAAATAAATCCAAACCACACTTCCCCAGCTGCACAGTCAGCAAGCCACATCTAATCAAAAAGGCAGCTAAGGAATCCCTTTTGGTCGGGAATCTTGGGGAGGGATGCTCTCTGCCCCTGTCACTTATTCACCACTTAGAAAAAAAGTCAAAGGATACTGTGGAGGGAGGTCCCCCAAGGACACCCAGCACACACTCCCTAAAACCGGCTGCTGAGACTTCAGGGGGTTTCCAGGGTCCGAGGGAAGCAGATGTGGTCAGAATACGGATGACTATTATGGTTTCCGAAATGCTGGTAAATTCTGCCTTCAGATGGAAGCGGAGCAGTCTCTCAGCAACAGTTCTGGTCGGACGGCCAGACACACACAGGGTTAGAGCAGACTGGAATGGCAGAAGCAGCTCTCCTCCAGCTCGGCCAGCGCCCCCTCCCCCAGAACCGTCCCCTACCTTCGGAAGGGACACATGTAACTTATTAATAGTGCAGCTCTCAGAGCCTGGATGGTAAAAATAACCTTCCCACCACTGAGCTTCAAAGGAGGGGAGTCTGCAGCACGCAATCCTCCCGTCCCACCAACACGGCCTCGCTGTCCCTCTCCAGCCACTGCTGTCTGCCTGGCTGCCCCACGCTGGTGCCCATCAGAGATGCTGAGAGGCGGCGGCTGCTGAGGTAGATTTGCATGTGCTCTCCTGCCCTGGGTGGGGGCTGAGCTGGCCTCTCCAACTCAGAGGTGTCTGTCAGGGCCTTCACAGATGGCTCGGCACAGCTGGGGCCAGAAGAGCGTTGAGACTGAAGAAAACAGCCAAAGTGGCCAAATTGGGACAAAGCAGCCCAACAAGTTCACGGGGTGAAGTGGGACTGAGTTATTTTGGCCCCTGGAAATGTGGTTTCAGCCAACCCACCAAAGAGTTGGCTCTCCCTGCAAGAACTGTGCCAGGCATGCCAGTGGGTGACAAAGTGCCTGACAATGACCCTGCTATCCCCCCTTCCTTCAAATCATTCCTGAGACCAGCTGGTGAGATGCTAGCCTTACTTATGTCTCCAGGGTTTTTACAGAGCAGAAAAGACTTCACTTATTCTCATCGCCGAACAAGCTGTGCTTTAGGAGACGACTGAAGTTGGCCTGGCAGCCAGGGTGGTGGTGCCACCGCTGAGGCACACTGTACACAGCACTGGGGCCTGCAGGAGACTTAGGACACGAAGCCACTCGGTCTGTGTGGCAGCGAATACCTAGGACACCTGCGCACAGGAGCAGGAAGGCGGCTGGAGGGCAAGCGTGGGGCTGCTGCCAGCAGCTGGCCCACCCACAGCATGTGTGTGTCTGCCGAAGGCCCTAGTCCACAGTGTCATGGGGCTCACCTGGGGAGGCAGCCGCCAGGGTGGGCGGGGACACGCTGCCCAGCACACAGCCTGGGGACTGACTTTGGGGCCTGGGCTGTCCGGGCAGGTGCAGGACGCTGCTGGCTGACGAGTCTGCCGTCAGCCGCCACCGTGCCACCCTTTTACCGAGGTTCTGCTCCGCAGCCCAGGGGGCATCAGAGAAGGACGGGAGAGATGCCTACTTTCAAAACCACGCCCACTCCCTGACAGTAACCAGCAGCAGCCAAGGATAGCTCCTCCTTTTCAGAATCACCTTCTGACAGAGAGGTGATTCCAGATACAAAGGCGTTAGAAAACAAATCCCTCAGTCTCTAGAAAATGAAAATCGATCTCTGATGCAAGTGGCGTGGAGAACGGGCACGCACGGACTTGATGGAAAGACCCATCTCCCCCTTTCCGGGTGATGAACCAGGGCCCGGCTTCTGCTGTAGTGTCAGAAAGAGGGCCAGCTCAAAGGACACCGACATTCCTGTGCCCACCAAGGACCCCTCCCCAGCCCTGCAGCAGAGTCCAGTTCTCAAACAGGACCTTGGGAAGCCCAACTCTTCTGCTAAGTCCTCACCAGGGCCTTATCTTTGGGGAGAGAGAAGGGAAAGACCACGTGAGTGCAGGAATCCTCGCACAGCCGCGCGGCTCACCTAAGCGGCCGTCCCAGTTCACACCATCCACAGTGCCGTCGGTGTGCTCAACAAACCTCGGCGGATAACAGTGACAATTCCAAAGAACACTCAACTGGGGAGGCCGGCAGGGGCTGGGCGTCCCTTCGGGTAAAGAGATGAAGTCGGGCAGCAGGGCTGGCCTGACAGGGCCGACAGGGCTGACAGGGCCTGGGGTTTAGACCAGCCTGTGCCCAGCTAGTCCTGTTGGTGGGCAGATTTGGTTGTGAATGCTGGTGAATGGCAGAAAAGCAGGTGCAGCTGGGGCTGCTCAAGAAAGTCCTGGGTCGCCTCCACCGTGACTTTCTGGAAGAACCTGATGCTCAGGACACTTGCTCTTGCTCTAGACAGTGGGAAGACCTGTCCAGTCTCCGGCACTTCCCCAGCAGAGTGAGGGCAGGCTGGTTTCCAACACAGGACCAGCCACTGGCAAGGCATCTTGAGTCATCCCATACAACACACTTAACACCATCCTTCTGGACCAAGTCATCGGGTCCCAAAGCCAAACACCTTGGCATTTCAAGGAGCAGCAGCCCTGCTGGGCCTCAAGACAGTACATGCAGAACCAGAATCATACATGTTGTCAGTTAATCAGCACCTAGGAGATATGATCAAGAGAGCGGTCTCTCCTCTTCTTGCCCATCCACTCGGGGGTCCTGGGAGCCGGCTGCTGGCCCCGGACAGGGGCTCCTCACACGAGGCCCGCAGACTTTGGCAGGTCCTGGGGACCGATGCTGGGGGTTGGGGGCCAGGACTGCAATCACAGCTCCCTCTCATGGTAAAAATTAAGACAGAAAAATTGCACAGCATGGCAAAAGTAGTAAAAAGAGAAAGCAGCAGCCGTGACGGACGACCAAGGAGGCCCACAGAAAAGTGACCAGGAGAACCTGGGCTTCCAGAAAAGCCAACACAGGACAGAGGTGAGGACATGAGTGGCTTGAGGGAGAGAAGGAGAAAGATTTTTGGTTTTATTGAGAATGGTTTATGGAAGAATAAGAAAAAGCCAAGAAGAAGGAAAAGAGGAAGAGCCCCGTTTAAAGACACGTTCCTGCTGTTTGCTATGGAGCGTCACGGGCAGGAAGGGGAGGCAGTGACTGAGGCCTGGGCCCCCGCCGCCCTGCTGGGCGCCCCCGAGAGGATTTCTGTTCTCAGCACTTTGGCCTTAAGGAGACTTGAGTTTCTTAGTCCGTGGGGATGTTCCGTTCTCTGCCTTCACCACTCCATTTTCATGATAACCTAGGAAGTAAAGGGAGACAGACAGACATGGTGTTTCTGCCAGGACTGGAGCAGGAGAGGCGGGTGGGGACCCGGACAGCCAGGCCCGGCTGCTGCCCACGAGGTGAGCCGAGGTGGCCCGCAGACTGCCCCTGGGAGCTGCTGCTCTCCCGGGGTCTTGCTCCCAGTGGCTCCGTTTGCGGTGGCTGGTCTCTGACACTCCTTCGGTGGGAGGAGCTGGGATGACACGGTCACTCGGGAACGGGAGAAGCCTGCCGCCCGGGCCTGAGGCTGGGATCACTCAGCCACCACCAGTGTCCTCAGTTTCTTTCAGACACCCTGAAGGGCAGCCACCCACTTCAGCAGCAACTCGAGGGAAGGTGACAACAGAGGGGAGGGGTAGAGAGGCTGGGGGGACAAGGCCTTCCTCAAACGCCTGACATTGCTCTGGCAGAAAAATTAGGGCAGAAATCTTTTTATTGTTGTCAAAAACATGCCTGTGTGCTTGCTTCAAGTCGGAGAGCACATCTGGCTGCCACCTCACACCCCATACCCACCACAGCCAGGCCTGGCTCAACACACCTGGCTGCACACATGTCTGGTCCTAACACACATGAGCACTTGCCAAGCAGGCCACACCTGAAGAAAGGCAGGTGAGTCAGAACACAGCCTGGTGCAGACAGCCCTCCAGGCTGGACAGACAGTGCAGGGCTAGTGGTGCCCCAGGACCCAGAGTGGGTGGGTGGTTACTGAGGTGTGGCAGGGGCCAAAGGAGAAGTGGGTGTCCCAGCCTTGCTGCCCACCAAGCACTGTGCCATCTTGAGTCATTCCTGAAGACAGAAGCGGAGCCAGCAGCCTGGGAGGCAGGGGCGGGCCATGGTGTAGACAGAGGGCAGGTGAGGACAGAGCAGCTGTGCGGCCCAGAGAACAGGCGCAGAACTTGGCTGGGGTCCAGAAGCCATCCTGAGGACACGCTTCCTGCCAAGAGTTCCCTATCCAGACACTGCCCTGCCCCACCGCTGCCAGAGGGCTCCCGCCTACTCAGGGCCAGCCCTGCCCACAGTCTGTCCCTGGTCCACACCCAGCCACGTGCCAGTCAGGCCCCAGCAGGAGCAAGAGAACCCCAGGCCCAGGGGAGGGGTCCGGACAGAGGGCTGCAAGACTAGTCTGGGTAGAGCCCAAGGATCCATCTCCGACTGCTCCTGTCCACCCCGACAGACCCCCCACAGTCCGCCTGAGCCCTGGCGCTCACCAGATTCCCTCTTGATGAGCCTTGCTGATGGTCTGGGGGCAGCTTGGACTCTGCGCTTGGCACTCTGCTCATTCCAGTATTCCCTCCAGTGCCGCAGCTGGGAGTGGATGAAGCGCCACATGAGCCAGGCCTGGGCAGCACACACCAGCACCAGCACGCAGAGCCTGCGGAGGGGCAGAGCGGGGCACTCAGGGGGACTCGAGGAGGCTGCGGGCCCACAGCCCCAGAGCAGGGAAGTTCCCGAGGCCAGGACCCCTGCCTGTCCCACGGCAGATCACCTCTGGCCCCAGCCCACCCCCGCCCTCCACCACCACCGAGAAGGGCCGGGGGCCAGTGCCCGTCTCTGTTCTAGCACATTTTGGGGTGAGGGGCACGGTCGGTGGACAGACCAGGCCAGGGAGCTGTCGGCAGACGTACATCCACCTCCAGCCATACTGTCACCATGCTGGCTGGGACCGGTGGCCTGTCCCTTTCGTACCCACAGTATAAAACATGGCTCACGTCAGCTCCATATATACTGGAAGAATTCAAATGAACTGAACTACATACAGCAGAAATAATTCTATCGTGGCTTCTCATCTAGCATGGCCCTTAACAGCAGTGCCGCCCTGGCCCAGTCACGCAGCTTCCCAGGCCCTAAGCCTCATGGAAACACAACGGCTTCCTCACTGCCTTCCTCGCTGCTATGGGAGGCCACTGGCCAGCCTGTTGAGAACACAGCTGTGAACAGTACAAGCGAAGCTGAATGGTCACCGAGGGGCCGGGTGAGAAGCCCACTGAGCACCACAAAGGTGAGGGGATTCCTATCTGGACTGAGGCCCTGACTCGTCTTTCTGGGCCTGTGCCAGGAAGTGAGGATGGTTTTGATGGAAAAAAAAAAAAAGGCTGGCACCTCTTCTCCTTCAGACCCAATGTCCGGGGATTCTCAGAAACATCGACATGCAGGAGGCCCAGGTGTTTGCTGCCTCCTGACCTTTTGCCTAAGTTGGGCCAAGTTCAGGAAGACCCTGGCTGCTCCCAGGGAACCCTGATTTATTGCCTTGCCCTTCTGCCCAACTCACCTGCAAAGTAAGGTGTTGAAGTTCCCTTTTTCAGGGTCAAAAGCTTGATTTTCCATGCGAGCAAGTCCAAAGCCAATGGCCAGCACGGCGAGGGTGAGGATGAAGAGGCGGGTGACCCCAAAGACAACGGCCCAGGCACTGAACCTACTCACAGAGTGGGAGAGGGGACATCAGCCTTTAGGCCCATGAGGACACTTCACCACTTCTCCAGAGGTGATTCAGGTGGGAAAAAGGTTCGGGGTGGCTGAGGGATGAGATATCTAGAGTAAGATGCTCCAGGAAAAAAAGAACCTCAGGGTGAAGCCTGCAGGTAGGGGGGCAGTTGACACCCAGGGCAGGACCTTCCCATCAGAGGTCACCTCTGTCCTCTGTGCCTCTGAGCAAGCCAGCCTCCCAGCCTCAGCACTTACAGCTTCTCATTGTTCTCGTCGGCAAAGTAGAAGAGCCGGGCGGTGTGGAAGAGGAAGTCGGTGGAGTACTGCAGCAGCAGCAGGATGAGGCCCAGGCGGCTGAGGCTGCGGGGGAGAGGTGAGCTGCACCGACCCCCCACGTCCGTGGAGAGTGGAGCTGATGCCCTGGGCTCCTCTCCCCTCCACTCCACTCTCTGGCTGGCCCTGCCTCATTCTCTGGGATTCCGTTTTGCTGTCACACCCCAAGAATTTTTCCTAATGCCGACCCCCGCCCCAGGCCTTTTGCCTGTCCCCTCTGGGTCAGGCACCCCTACTGCTCCCATAGCGACCCTGGCGGGGGGTCTTCACAGCACTTGCCATCCGGTCAGACACTAAGCACACAATAGCTGCTCGAAACAAGCTGCTGAGCTTTTCATGGAGAATCGGGGATTCCCGCCACCCGACTTTATTAGCCGAGTCTTCACAGCTTAGAGGTACGCAAAGAGCAAAACTCAACGTGATGCGAAAGTCTACGCTAGTAAACCGAACTCTTGAAAAACAGCACCCACTCAGACACCCGCTCTGCTCAGTTCTAGGACTTTTTTAAGCAGTGTGCTGCAAATGGTCAGCTGTCGTTCGGACGCAAAGGGAAATCGCAGACCCTGCGGAGCACACAGGGCTTCAGGAGTCAAGGAGACACTGCAGGAGCCCTCCCACACGTGGTGGTGATAAGGGTCTGGCCACTTTTACACGGTGAGACCAAAGTGCAAAATCAATCACAATGGTCACTGGATCTCAAGAATGGTCTAGAGAATAAGGTGAAAACTCCCCAATGTCTTCACGTGGCCTGGAAAGTCCAACACGATCTTGCCCATGACCTGGTCTCAAGCCTCATTTTCTGTGTCCCAGCCACGGTGGGCTTCATGGTCACTCCCGCCCAGGGCTGTGCACCTGCTGCTTCCTCGGCCTGTACAGATCTCCACGTACCTGGCTCTCGTCATTCAAGCCTCACCTGAGCCTCCTCCTCACACACCGAAGGTGCCAACTGCACACGCTGTCCTGCTTTATTTCTCTGCTGCACTTACCACCACGGGAAGCTCTATTTACTTACTTCCTGGTTACGGTCTGCCTCCCGCTAGAACGGACGCCCAGGAGAGCAGGGCCTGTCTGCCTTCGCCCAGACATCACTGCAGCCTGAGGCAGCGCCCGGCTCACGGGAGGGCTCAGGTCTGTGCTGAGTGAGCAAAGGCCTCCAAACGCCAACCTCCTCACGAAGACGAGACCCCATGACATTCGAAATTTCAAAGGTCTGTCTTCCTTGGGAAATCCTGCAGCCAAGGGCCTTTCCTTTCCCTACACTCACTTCAAAAAACTACAACAAGGATGGATGGGAAGGCAGCTCATGTTCCCTAAAAGAGTGAGAGAGGTGGCTGTACCTTGACCCGGTGCTGGCAATGGACTGGACGTGACTTTGGAGGATCTGCTGCTCACTGCCCTCTCAGTCCTGTTCTCATCCCTAAACAAGAATTCTGAGGACTGGGTGCAAACAGGGTCAGACACCTGCCTTGCCCTTCCCTGGGAGATACCAGAGGCAGAGAAAAATGGATCTTGGAGCATCTCGCATCCTCAGGAGCAAAATGGGTCCGAACAGCAGCAGGAGGCTCTGCTACATGGTCCTGCCTGTACCTTCTCACCCTGTCCCCACCACGCACTGCTGGGGTGGCAGCGTAGACTGGCTTCCCCAGACTCACTTGGCGTGTGACACATGAGCACCAAGCACAAGAGCAGAGCCGCCCTCACCACACAGCCTCCGCGCCCTGGAGACCCGCCCGGGAGCCCTCAGTGGTGGAGGCCTCTGGAGACAGGAGCCCGGGTGTGAAGGCCTCTGCCGCCCAAGCCCACCATTCTCACTGGACGCCCGCTGCGAGGACCTAGGGGAGGACGGGCCCCATGACCTCTAGGTGGCCCAGCAGAGGAGTGTACATCACCAAGTTACACGTCTCGAGTTCTCAAAATGCCAGCTCAGAGAAAGTCCTGGGTGTTCCCCGGCACTGCATGGATAATGCTCAGGAAAACCCAAGTCAGCAATGACATACCCTGTTCGTCCACATGAATCTTTTCATAAGAGACACTCGAGGCCAAACACCACAGCCACTCTTCTGACTTCTGGACAGCTAGCAGTGACTACTCCGTGTTTCATTACAAATCAAAGGGACGTGGGTTCCAGAGCTGCGCGCTCTGGCAGCTTCTGCCACTGGACACCAGAGGCAGGGAACCAGCCTTGGGCCGCCCTCCACCTGCAGAGCCACAGACCACGTGCCAACACCCCCGGCCAGCCCCCCCTGCTGTCTCGGGTTGCGGTGGTCACTCTTCTGAGTTCCCCTGACAGATGATGACACGCCATAGTGCAGTGCTCAACACTAAGCCATTCTCCTCCGTGCGTAACTGGGCCCTCCTACCAGGCTGTGAATGCGCCACTGACAACAAAGGAATCTTCGGTCACCTGTCTCTGTATTCCCAGGTCTTAACCTGGCACTCGGTATACAGCAGGCATCTCATGAATGCCTGCTAACTGAATGAACGTGTGCAGAGATGCTGGAACACAAGGGCAGGCCCGGTCTCACTCACTTGAGGAGGTACGCTCCAGCTATGTGGACCAGGTACAGGCAGATGTACTGGAGCTGGCGGGGAACTTCCTCCTGCGGACAAGAGAAACAAGAGTGAGTGTGCCCACTCCCTAACGAAGATGCAGGGACAGAGGGGAAGTTCAGACGTGTGAGGGTGGCCAGGCTACCTCTCCCACGGCCAAGGACTAGTGCTTTAACACAGACAGTCCCAGGTCATGCGGAAGCCCATGCACCAGGCTGCTGAACAGTCTGAGGGCAAGGCAGCAGCTTCAGGTCCAAAGCCAGAGGGCTGGGTTGGATTGAGAAGGGACAGGGACTGGGGGACAGGGCTTTGGACATAATTCAGAGGGAAGCTGTTAAAAAGAAAAGACTGTGGAAAAGGCATGAACCTCTCCATCTGCCATCCAGAAGATGAGATTCAGATTTCCTCCAAAGCCACATACATGTCAAGTGTGGGAGGCAGACAAAATGCTGGTGGCCTGCTCTCGTGGAGGCCCCCCTGGGGATTCGGACAACAGCCGACTCAGCATTTTTCCAACCCACCAACACTGCCCCCACCACCACCCACCCTTCTGGGCTTCTAGAGGAAGGGGCAGGACCAGCTGGAACGGCAGAGGGGTGAGGAGGACCCCTGGCTTCAAGAGGAGGAAGGGAGTACTCACCTTCCGTACCTTCTGGAAGTAGAGCTCAGGAAGTGCATGCAGCCAGTAGGCCAGCTGGCACAGGTAGAAAAACTTCACCTGGAAGCTGGAGATAAGGGAGCGAGTCACATGGAGGGACGGAGGAAAATGGCCCCGTGATGCGTGCCCGGCACAGGAGGGAAGGCAAGGGCCAGGAGACTGTGAGGAGCCAGCACCATGCTCCTGAGCCTGGGGACCCGGATCCACAGACAAGACCGTTTAGAGGGACACAGAGAGTTCACCGAGAGAAATACAAATGGTAAGAAGAGCACAGAGGAGGAGGGTCTTCAGCGTAGAGGAGGAAGGCTGAGGAGGGAACTGATTCTAGAGACCTGCGGTAGAGAAGAGGGTGGCAGGAACAGGCTAAACGAATGGACGTCAGTAGCAAAGGACTGAACTAACTCAGCTGAAGTCCTCTGCCATTATCCTACAGCATCTTGGGAAGAGTAAGGAGTGGTCTCCTGAGGGACAGGGCCAGCTGCTGCCCTCCTGTGTCTCATCCAGAGCAGGAAGGGAAGGGGACACTGCCTGTGATGGGGCACCAACCACGGAAGTCAGCAGGGAAGATGTGCTGTGAACAGGAGTGGGTCACCAAGACACTCACAGCCAGGGGACTGTACGGAGGCACTCTGCCTGTGTGTCTCACAGGGTTTAAGAACTCGCTACAGACCCAACTGGCACAGCATTCATCTGGATCCCCCTCAGAATCCGTACGCTGACACCCTAAACCCCACTGTGATGGTATCGGGAGGCAAGGTCGTAAGAAGCTGGCCTGGTTGCGGGTGCAGAGCCCTCGTGAGTAGGACTGATGTCCTCGAGGGGCCCAGAGAACTCCCACTTCAGCCTGTGAGGGCCCAGAGGGAGAAACGCTGTCTGTGAGCAGGAAGTGGGCCCTCACCAGACACTGACACTGCGGGCACCCTGGTCTTAGACGTCCCAGCCTCCAGGACCGTGAGAAATGAATTTCTGATGTTCGCAGAGCACCCAGTACATGCCACTCTGTGACAGAGGCTGGTGCAGACACCACTCCATGTTGGGGTTCTCCAGTCCAGCAAACTGGGAGGAAGAAGCACCCAGACAAGTCTGTCTCCCACAAGACTGCGCCCTAACAGGTTCAGGATACGACGGGTCCTCATGCCAGCTGACTCCATGGCATTCCGGACACATTCTGGGAACAGGAAGCCAGAGGCCCGGCTGGCTCCTCCCCGGAGACCAAGTCATGAGAATACTCACGGGAGGTACACATGTGGGTAGTCTTCCCAGAGGCTTCTCGGGTTTGTTAAATATCCTTCCTGCAGTAGGCAAGAAGAGACAGTATTTAGAAATGTCAGGGGTCAGGGAAGCTTCCAATCCCCAGCTGCCAGGAAGAGGAAAGAACAGGAAATGTGACATGGAGGACCTTCCGAGCGGCACCCACGGGTCTCTGCTGCGACAGAGCAGGAAGAGCCCCGCGGGGTCAGAGCCCTCTGTCTGGAAGTGGGCCTGGCGCTTCCTGGCTGCCTCCATCCTCCCAGCTAGTCAGGCCCTAAGCTATAGCTGGCTCGTCTGTAAAATGAGAATAAAAATATTGGCCCTCCCAGAGTTATTGCTAGAAATGAATATGACAGTTTGTGTTTATGTGACAGGGTCTAGTATTTTGTCTGGCATGTGGCACTCAGGAAATGCTTGTAGGATGAATAAGCAAATGGACTCCACAATCTCCATCCACTGGAAAAACAAAAAGCCTAGTATGGCTTTTCACATCACCCCACAGGCCTCATAAGTGTGACACTTGTCACACTGTGTCACCATGGCCAGTTGCCTCCGTTACTCTGCAAGTTCCTCGGGCTGCAGTCTTTTCCTGCCCTTCCTTAAATCTCTGGCATCTCGCCCAGGCCCTCACGTAGAACGGGCACCCAGGGCCTCTTACAGAGAAGGGGTTAAAAGACTCCCATCGCAAAACATACAGAAATGATAAATGAAATCTAACAAGTATTCTTTTAAATGCGAAGTTGAGTTCACTATAAGAAAAAAACCCTGAGACCCCAAAACAAACAGGGCGCTGAAAGCCACAGCAGTGAGGTGAGGCTGTGGGGCTGGGGCGTTCGTGCCCCTACGGGAGCAGGAGACAGTGCCTTGGGAGGTGGAGCCTGAGACCCATGTGCAAAGTCCGGGCCCTTTAAGGGCCACCACCTCGGAGAAAGAGTAGACTAGAAAGAGTCTGATGACCATCACAGGGAGATGAAGAAGATGTCTGCTCATCCTGAGCTAAGGATGAAATACAAAACATTACCCCTTGAACATTCATTGCCTGAGGTTTGCTTTCACATGAGTCTGGAGTTCAAATTTACTCCACTTGTGCAGTTGGGACCAGCAGTATGCATAGTACTGGGGTCGTCGATACCACTGGGACACACGAAATGGTTTTTCAGTAAATGACTAAAACCTGAGTGGGGCCACCAGACTCCTGGTCTGGTACCCACAGGCCTGGCTGCCTCAACAAGGCAGAAGAAATCCACGGAGCTGGCGGCCTCCACGGGGAGGTGGAGAACCTCACTTGTGCACGCTAGGACTAAGGGAAGGGCCGGCCGTGCTCAGGAGGCGGAGGCCAACAGGCGGTAATGAGAAGCACTCGGTTTCCATCCGTTAGACCCTCAGTGTACTTTCCAGAGGGGCTGATCCACCCACCGCGGTGGTACCAAATGCCCTGGTACATTTCCGGTAGATTCTTCAGCCCCAGCCCCCAGCCTGGGGCCTCACTGGCACAATGACCTGACGAGTCCGATCGGGCACACACACCAGTGTAGTCGTGGTGTCTTCGACGCGAAGGAACTGGTCTTACCCCAAACCCTCACGGCTTCACTTCCAGCCTCTTCTCACTACCACTGCCCTTTCTCCCCTGGTCACACACAGATTAGGGCACAGAGGTGGGAGGTTCTGGGACACTCGGGGGCACGGGAAACACTTAATTACACCCACAAGGTTACTACCCACCCCTGCCTCGACCAAACATCGGCCCTAGGCCACAGTGAAATGCCGTCTTCCACTCTCTACCTCGCTCTGCAGAAATCACAGAGGTGAGAAGGTTCCTTTCTAGAGGGAAGCATCAGTGCATTTAAGGAGGGAAATGGTACTGCTGGGACCGAGGTGGGAAAGGAATTCCTGCCCCAGAAAAGACTGGCCAAGAGAGGTAGCACTGGGAGAAATCAAAGCCCAGCTGACCTTGTGATTTTAAACAGGAACCGCCTTGGCTTGGCCCCCTTACTGAGGAGACCAGGAGGTCAGAACTCTGAAGACAGCAACCAGAGAAAAATGCTGCCTGCTTGCGAATGTCCAGTCCTCGGGGACTGCGCGCGAGGAGGTGGGGGAGGAGAGCAGGGGGAGCCAGAGGACAAATGACTCACTGCCCTGGGAACAGCCTTTTCCAGACCTCGGGCCAGGAAGCTGCCTGAGGGGCCTGGGGCTGGGGCACCCTCTGAGCTCGGGCCCGCCAAGGACCCCAGGGCCCAGAGTGCAGCAGAGGGAGCACCTGTAACCCACCTTGAGTCCCACCCACCGACAGGCACCAGAGGAGGGCTGGGGAGCTTTTGGAATCCTTCGTTCTCTCTGGTTCTTAAAGGTCAACCTATGAGCTAAGCAAGGCCTGAGCAAACCGGAGCCACCTCTCCCTTTCCCCTGCAGCCTTCCTTTACGGTGTGAGAACAAAAAGAACCACAGGCGCAGCAGAGTCTAGTCACAACACAGCTGCCTCACTCAGCCGTACCTTGTAAGTGCTGTCCTCCAGAAGCAACCGCCACTGAAGTGCTTACTCTAAGTGAACAGCAGAAACCAGCCCTGACCCAAGCACCAGCGTGAAAGGTGTTCCTTCTACCAGGTTCTCACTGGGCTCTGGGTTGAGGTTTTAAAACGTGCAGTCAGGCAGCAGGAACAAATGCTCACCACCCTGCTCTCCTCAGTGGAGAACGAGTGAGTGTGAGTGTGTGAGTGTGTGTGTGTGTTCAGTCCTGACCCCCGAAGAGCAGTTCAAGGGTAAATTAAAAGTACGAGGTTGACATTCTTATAAAATTGTTGGTTGGTGCGGCCACACTCCCATCACACTGCCTGTCTACGAGCAGAGAGAAGCGTCTGAATCAAACACCAAAATAAAACTGATTATTTCTGGAAGAAGAGATCTGGGGTAACTTTTTGCTTTCTTTTTTCAACTTATATGTATGGCTTACTTTTAAAAAAAATGATCATCTATAATGTTTATAAAAACAACCCATTACTTTAAAAACTGCCGAAGGTTGGAGCAGGGAGACGCACGTGGCAGCTTATTCATTCTCCTGACAAGTACTGAGCGAGCAGCTCAGGGTCCGGTGTGAGAGGCAGACCGCAGAGCAAACACATGTGGACCTGGACCGCAGCACGGCGATGGGCACACTCCAGGAAACACAGATGGGGCAGGGGCGGCCTTTGCGGGGGTGACATTTAGGTGGAGACGTGGACAGCAGAAAGGAGCCGGCCCTGGATGCCAGGGGACGGAGCATCTGATCAGAAGAACCACAGAGCAAAGCCCAGGAGGCAGGGGCTCCAGGAGAGTTAGAGGAGCACGGGGAGAACGGCGAGGCTGGGACCAGCAAGCCGAGACAGGCAAGGCGGCAGGGCGCAGAGCACAGCAGTCAGGAAGAAAATGAGTTCTCTGCAAGTGGGGTGAGGGCCTTTAAAAAGGAAAATACACAACTTGATTTACTTTCTAAAAAGATCTGTCTGGCTGAGCAGAAAATGGACTGGGGTAGGAGAGGACCGGAGAGGAAACAGCTCCTTCTAGAAGGAGGATATACAATGATCCAGGCAAGAGACCATGGTGGCTTGGATTGCAGATCAGGGTTTCTGCACCTTGGCATCAATGACATTGGGGACCAGATAGTTCCTCCTTGTGGGGACTGTCCTGTGCACTGTACGCCATCCCTGGCCCCCACCCACCTGATGCCAGTGGGGCCCGGGGGGCAGAATCTCCCCCCGGAGAGAACTGCCGGACTTGGGGGCGGCCGGCAGTGCTGGTGGGAAGCAGCCGAGAAAACCCTAACGTGTTCTGGGGGTGGGATGGCAGGCCCTGCTGAGGAACTGACTGTGGAAGATGAAAGAAAGAGAAGAAATCAAAGAAAATGTGCATGATAACATAAAATTATGGTTTTAAAAAAACAAGTTGTTCTCACTCCTTTTACAAAACTGTACTTTCATTCCAGGCAGAGCAGCACAGAGCGGGCAGGTGAGGGCCAGGAGCACAGGGTTAGGGGGTGGAGTCACCGGAACTTTCTGGGGTCCCCATGGTCTCCATTTCCTGTGGAAGATGCTGAGTGGGAAACTGGCTGCCACCACAATAAAGCCTGTTATGAGGTTCCCCCCAAAAGTGCTACATTCCCCCAGACTAATTAGCATCATCCTTTTCAAGCCCCTGAAGGCTGAGAGAAGCACAGACAGAGCAGTTGAGCATTTCACACTCTGGCAGGGGTAGTAACTTGGCTGTTGGCCTCCAATCTGGTCTAAATGTGTCACAGCTGTGTGGAGCGCTGGGCTGAGGTGGGAAGGGTAAAAGGGATTCACTCAGAGATGAGGCAATGCTCTGCTGAAAACCGAGTTAAATGTGGTCTCTGAGGCTGTTCTGCCTCGAAGCAGCTCAGGGTCTCCAGAGGCAGGCATGAGCCAAACACCAATTGCTAAGCACAGGTCTGAAACCCAGAGCACCTAGACTTGCTAGGCCAGGATGTGCGCTGCACAACAGCAGGGGGCGCTACTCACACAACCGCCTGTAGGTCCGCCCCCTGAGACAGGGTAACTTGACAGCCCAGCTTGGGAAGACTGAGGTCTTAGGTCTCACATTTTAAATGCCTGGTGTTCCATTTAAGATAAATGTTCTGGGATTAAATGATAATGGAAATAAAAGCGAAGTACGAAAGAACATGTTGACTTCTTTGAGAATATGAACTGAATGTCCATCTCTGGAGGCAGAGTTCCTCAGGATGTGAAAGTTCATCACTGTCACTGAAGAGAGAAAAGGAAGGGGGAGGCAGCGAAGGCGATTTCTAAAAGGTCACACACAGGGCTGCTGAATGTTCTAATCCCAGGCCTGGGTTTCTCATAGGACAATTCTCGCTCCTGAGAAAGAGACCAGGTTCAGAGCAGTGGTGCTGCAGGCTGGGGGTGGGGGTGCGGCACGGGGATGCGGATTAAACACTTCCTGGCAGGGACAGGCCGGGTCTTGTCACAGTGAACCCCAAAGGCCAGTCCATACCACTCTGTCCGAAGAAACTCTGCCACATCAAAGGTCGCCTCAAATGAGTCCCCTCGTGTCGAATGGGAGGTAGATCACTGGTCAGCCAGGCCCTTGCGGGAACGGCAACGACTCTCACAGGATCCGATGGGCACGCGGACAGGGGTGCTGGCCTTGCCGGGTCTCCTGCGAGAGTGTCTGCAGGAGGGCGCTGTGACGGGGTGCCGTGCTACCTACATACGCAGCGCCGTCAGAGTGCCCTCGCACAGTAACTGTGACAAGTGTTTAGTTTTATGCAGGATGGCTCTTTTCAGCTATAAAACGGCATTTATATTATTTGACCTCTGTCTCACCATATCATGAGGAAGTAAAAATAGCTTCAGTTCTAAGAAAAGGCCCCCAAGTTTCCACACTGCTCCTCACTCGTTTCCTTCCCTGCTCAGCCCTTAGCAGCCACTTCATCAGCGGTCCAAGAGGAGCCTCGAGTGAGGACCACTCACCGTCACCACCACGTAGAAGCACCATATCAGCGAGCTGAGATGAAAGAGAACCAGCTGTCCAGACTCGTTGAACTTGCTGTGTTTGACCTTAGAGAGATGAAGTCGTTTGCTGATTCTCTAAAGAATGAAGAGAATCCCACATATTAATATGCAAGTCTATTGATAACGAACAGGCAAGTTTCAAAGTCCTGCTTCTTCCCATGAAAAGGCTGACGTCTGAAGTGAGCTGTAATCCAAGGTATTTAAGGTAAGGTGACTGTGTGTATATGGTGCTCAGTCTAAAGCAGCATTCTGAGAAAGCAGCAAGATTAATGTCCTCAGCCTAGACATAAAGAACACACCCTCCAACCAAACCACTCACGACAGGCCACACAGCCAGCTCTCTCCTGTGCAGCAAATATTGCTGTATGCTGGCTAAAGCAGCCTGTGACAGGGCCAGAGACCCAAGTGTGGTGAGAGGCGTCTAGGTGACAGGACCAACCGGGACAGGAAAATCAGGGGCGAAGAGGTTCTGAGCTCCTCCGAGGTGAGCACCTGTGACCCAAGGCATCCCCCCAGTTTCTGACTTCAGAATCTGGACACATCACTTACATCTATAATGTACTCCTGAGCCAGAGCGTGCAAGATGACGGTGATGAAGATGTAGAACAAGATTGTGACCAGGTCCTTCGGCCCGTAGTGGTAGTGCACGGTCTCGCTGTCTGAGGAGGTAACAAGAGCCACATCAGCATCCCCGGCGTGAGCAAACTCTCTGGGACCCAAACTGAAAGGAGGTGTGAAGGAGAATGTGCCCTCAATGCTTCCTTTTGGCTGCAAACCTTCGCCTCAGAGGAAAGGGCTTCTTCCCTAGAATCCTACCTCCAGACTTGACCCTTGCAAAGCGCCAATGGGAAGGGCTCAGGGGAACAAAGCAGACCCAGATTTGGGAGGGCTCCGTCCCGAGTCTGAGCAGGAGGGCACAGTGGTCACAAGCCAGGGGTTGGATCACTCCCTGGCTGTGTGACTACAGAGAAGTGACCACCTCTCTGAGGTGCGGTTTCCTCCCCTGTAAAATGGGACTGTAGTTACACTTCCCCAAGGACACACAGCACAGGGGGTACGAGTATCGACTCAGAAGTCTGCACTGGTATACCAGCTCTGCCATTTGCCTCCTATGTGATTTGGGGGTACCTCTAACGTGCGGCCTTTCTGTACCTCCACTTCCTCATCTATAAAGGGAGGGTGACGGCAGTTTCTGTACTGCATGGTCACTGTGAGAATTAGATGACTTAATAAATGTAAAGGGCTTAGAACAGTCTCTGTAGCAAAGTAACTACTATATAGGTATTTGCTATTTCTGTTGTTGATACTGATGGGATTACATTATTGTGAGAATAAGACGAGATAATTTGTAGGCAAGGTGCTTATCACAGTACCTGTAACCATGGTAAGCATGTAATAAAGGGTAGTTTATTAAAATATTATTCAACAATAATCAATTAGAATCCCAAATACATAAATCTTATAAAGCTTGGCTAGTACAGTCTCTTTCTCCACGGGCACAGGATTCACACCTGCATGAGTCAGCAGGCTGCAGGGTTGCAAGAGCCTGTGAACTGGGTCTGGATTTTTGCTGCTTGGTGAGCCCCCTCCCGCCAGCAGATGCTCTGACCATCTTCCCAGCAGTGCTGCACTCTCGCTGAGTCACACGCATGAGTCACCTCTCTTTGCTGAGGTGCAGTCACCAGAAGGTAGGTGAGTTGCAGGCTGGCCACAGAACAAAGTGGGCCCAGCTCTCTGAGAGCCAACCCACAGCATCAGCCACCCTGGACTGGGAGAATGTGAGAGTGGGTGGTTATGAGGGCGCATGGGGGACAGCAAAGAGAGGGAGCATATCTACTCTGAAACCCAACAAACTTTCCTTTTTCCTCTCCCTCCTCCTTTCCACAAAGATCTGCTCTGTGAGAGGCACTGGGCTAACGGTTGAAATGTGGGTAGAAGACACCATCTGGCTTCAGAGTGCACAGACCACCAAGGAGACGGACAAATGAATGTGCTGTTCCCCACGGACAGGCACGGGGCACCAAAGGTAGGGAGAGCAATGTAGGGAGCCAAAACAAGCGAGGGCCTGACTTGGCGGGGGTGAAGGTGGTGAGGGAGCAGGTCGGCGTGAACAGGAATCCCAGGTATGAACAGGCATGGTCAGGTGGTGACGAGGGGCGTCCTAGGCAAGGGGAGGCAGAGGCCGTGGGGAATGAGGCCGTCCCGGGTGATGAGGCTGCTGTGAACGGCCTGGGTGCCACATGACAGGGTGCGGGCCTTATCCTGAAGGCTAAGTGGAAACATCAAAGAATTCGAACTCGACAGGAATATGATCATATTTGGGTTTTTGGAAAGTTTCTCCGGCAGCCACGAACAGCATCTTGCCGAAAGACAAAGGCCCCAGATAAGGAGCTGTCCCCGTGATGCAGGTGAGGAACCACGAGGGCAGGAGAAGAGCGCCGAAGGGGGACGGACAGAGCTGTCAGAGTCGGAGAAGACGGGATGGCTGCCCCTCCGAGGGGGCTGAGACCTGGACAGGGGTCGGGCTCTGAGAACCTGAGAAGACTCGGGCCACGGGGCAGAGACGGGAACAGGGCTCTGCCTCTTCTTTCTCTCGTCCGTCAGTGAAGCTCAGATCACATTTCCTCCGCGTTTCTCAGAAGGGAGGATCAAAGGAGACTAATTAGATGGCAGCATATTTTGAAACCATAAAATTACTAAACACATGCAAAGTTTCATCATCAAGACCAGCATTTTCAAGCAAAATGGAATTCAAAAACACAGTCCAAAAACAGTGAAATTACACTTGTCAAGACCTCAGATTTTCCCTTTTAAAGCATATATGGGGTCACCTACCACTCTTCACAAGTGTCATGGTTCCGGGGATGTGACCACAGCCTTAAATCCTTCTTGAAACAAGAATGAACATGTGGAATGACATATTCTTCTGTTCCTTTGCTACTGAGAACGACAGGCATGCTTCATTATCACCAATAAACCACGAGCAAGGCTCCACGCTGGGCACTGAGGAGATGGCAATGACACGTGGGGACGGCACTGCCCTTCTGGAGCTCACAGGTCCACATCGAACTCTCCTGTACTGGAAATCCACAGGCCAAAGAACGCCACAACAACAAGCAACCACCTTAAAAATGGCAAATAGATCTCTCTCCAGAGAAGACATCTCAATCGGCAACAGGTACATGGAAAGGTGCTCAGCATCACTATCATTAGGGAGTGAAGATCGAAACCACAGTGAGATGCCACCCCACACACACATTAGAACGGCTACAACGTGGCCGGAAGGAAAGCAACAGAAAATAACAAGTGTTGGTGAAGATGTGTATAAATTAGAATCTTTGTGTGTTGCTTGTGGGAATATAAGATGGTACAGTCACTGTGGAAAACAGTATGGGGGTTCCTCAAAATTAAAAACAGAACTACCATCTGACCCAGCAATTCCACTTCTGGATATACTCAGCAGAACTGGAAGCAGGAGCTTGCAGAAATACGTGTACACCCAGGTCCATAGCAGCATTATTCACAATAGCCAAAGGTGGAGACAACCCAAGAGTTGATCAACAGATGAACAGAAAAACAAAGTGTGGTATATACATATTTAATAGAATATTATTCGGCCGTAAAAGGAAATCCTGTCACACTCTACAACATAGATGAAGCCAGAGGACACAATGCTAAGGAAGCTAAGCCAGCCACAGAAAGACAAACACTGTATGATCCCACCACGTGAAGATTCTGGAGCAGTGGAAACAGGAAAGGAATGGTGGCGGCTGGGGGAGGGGTGAAGACGGCCGGAGAACCGCTGTTTAACGGGTACAAGGTTTCAGTGTTGCAAGGTTGCCCAACAATGTGAGTGTACTTAACGCTACTGAACTGGACACACGGAAATGGTAGAGTCTAAATTTTATCTTTTGTGTATTATACCACAATTTAAAACGAATCACGAGTGACCAGATGTGATCAGTGCTCTGACAGGGAGTGAGGGCTGATGGTGAAGTGGCAGGGACACAAGCCTGGAGGAGGGTGGTCGAGGACGGGGCAGGGAGTGCGGGGGGAGAGCCGGTGAGGGCAGGGCACTGAGGGATGGATAAAGCTGGACAGCAGGGAGGGGCAGGCTGCTGAGGCAGAGGGCCATGGGAACACAGGCCCCTTACAGGTCATGGCAAAGTATCTGAAAGGCAGTGGAAAGCTACTGGAGGATATCGGTCCCATACGTATTTATATCCATCCCTCTCCTGCCGTGTGCTGAATGGGTTAGAGAGACAGGGAGAGCAGTTAGAAGGTGCCTGCGGGGACTACAAGCCAAGGGGTGGCAGTGGCCGGCGCTAGGACCATGGCAGAGTGGTGGAGAGAAGACCAGTTTAGAGAGATGTGGGAGATGAGATCAAAAGAAGCAGCTGACAGACTGACTGGCTGTGGGGAATGATTCTAGAATTCCCTCAGGAATCTCATCTGCAATCTGTAGTCCTCCACGGTTTCACGATTCTTCAGCATGTGCTGTCCTGCTCGATCCTCAGAATCATCTCATAAGATGAACAAGGAAAATGGGTGAAGAAAGAGGATTCAGAGAGTAAGGGAAATGGGCTGTTTCTTAGGTCTCCCAGTGTCCAACAGCCACCTTGGGGTCAGCTCGACCCCCTGGTGCCCTCCCCAGGCCCTGAGCCCTCACTGGTAAAAAGCCGTTCCTTCGACCCATCTCCTGCAGTCCCAGCCCAAAGCCGTGCTCTGACTCATGCACACTATCCCCACACTTCCCTGTGTGCTATCTTCCTTTTGATCAGAACAGGAAAGTAAATTGATTTTTGACCCCCATCTGCTTTCAACACAGCTGTGGAGATTGAAACTTTGTGTTTTTCTAGGAGGCACAAACAAATTAATGCTTTTGATTTTTCTCTTTTAAAATTGTTGGTTGATCATTAATTTTTATGAACACCCCCTCCCTCCCCAAGTTTGAGCTCCTACTCTATAAGCACTGCTCAGTCTCACATGAGTTCGGCAGTAATGTGTCATTTTTTCAGATGAGAAAGCATCAGCACATCTCTGAGCTATTCCACCAGAGAGGTGATTCTGGTCACAAGTCACAGCAAAATGCCTACAGAGACCACCAGGAGGGTAATAATACAAATGAGCAAAGTGGTTCAGGTATCTGAAGGTAAATCCTCACCACAGGTCTGCTGCATTGAATAAGAATAGTCTTTCTTACACAGCACACTTTCCACTGTTCTTCCTTCAACGTATCGCCCCCTTGGTCTATCTTTCTCATTTCTACCTGGAGAGAGGAACAAGTTTAAGAAATATCCACTTTCCTTTAACCTTACTAAAACAAAACCAACAGTTAAAACTGGGATAAATGGAGACAGACAGTCTCTGTGTTAGGGACACACTAGAGAGGAGCAGTGACTGTGGAAAACTGCAGAATGTGCGTCCCAGGGGCTAAAGGAAGGGGCGGGGAAGGTGCTTCTCGGCCACCGTGGCCATGGGGAGGAACGCAGCCCAGTGTGGCCAGATTCCCAATATTTCAAAAGCAAAGACAGAGACCTTTACATGAAATTATCTGATTTTAAAATATTGGTGACTAATTCAAAAACTTTCAAAACACTTTATGGGCCAACACCAAACTGGCCAAAGAAAACACATCTGAAGCCAACTCTGACCACAG